CGAGTTCCGGAAAATTGGCGAGATTAATGCTGTGGCAGAGGGATGGTGGTGCTGATGGCGTTTCCAGATGGCCAGCGGATTCAGCGGTGGTGGCGTTGGCGCGTCACAGCGTGGCCTCCGACCGCAGCCACGGCTTTATGAGTCGTGTAAAATTGCTTCAGGCCTGAGGCCCGGGCCCAGTCAGCAGCAGTTTGGGACACCTTGTTATCTGTCTCTCAAATACTGTGTCCCTCCGTAGGACAGCATTTCCCATTAGTTTGGTTTTTATGTTTCATTTCATTCAGTTAAAGTGCAAAGACTTCTGCTGAGGATCATTTTGCTTTGAAGTGACATAAATAACATCCCCAGACTGCTTTAAATACAGCAAGGATGCTTAAATAACAGGAACATATCATGGAGAAAGACTCAGTTACAAACACTGCAACAAAAGTGGGTCAACTTAGTTGGAGTGTCAAGTGTAAAGAAGGTCTGCCAATCTTTGATACCATATGAAAGTTTTCAGTGAAAAACAAAGTTTATGAGTCTACTGCCCTGCCTCAGAACCTTGAGCAATATGTATCAGTGAGAGAACCATGTTTTTGGAGCCTTGTTATGAAAAGAGTGAAAAATGTAAAGGTCTCTATGAGAGTGGATTAGCACAGCGCCAGAAGTTCAGCCTCTGGGAGCAGGAATGTGGAAATCTGCACATTAGATTCAAAAGTAGAAGTTCAGATTAGCAGAGGTGAAGCTTAGCCAATAGCTCGAGCTACACCCACCTGTATTTCCACCCACCTGTCATTCCATGTGGCCATGCACCTCATAATAAACAGAACTGTTTTTGCAGCAGCTTGGAAACATGTTTATTTCTGCTTCAACATTAGACATTTTAATTTCTTCATCTTTTGGCTATAGGGAGTCGCCACCATGGATCATTTGCTTCTATCCCTAGCATCTTCCTCTGTTACACCAACCCCCTGCATGTCCACTGCATCCATGATGGATGATCCAACCGCAATTCAGTTAAATTCAATTCAATGAAAATCAATTGTATTATCCAAGCACAGTTACCGACAATCAGACAAGCACTTAGCGACAGTGGGAAGGAAAAACTTCCTTTCAGCAGGAAGAAACCTCCGGCAGAAGCTCAGGGAGGGGAAAACATCGTCCATGACCAGCTGGGGATGAGGGAAGGAAGACAGGACAAAGACATGCTGTGGAAGAGATCCAGAGATTAATCATAACTAATAATTAAACACAGAGTGACAATCCCCCAGGAGGGCTCAGTGTCACCTGTTCCAGCACTAACTCTATGCTATATCAAAAATGAACATTTTGAAGGCTAATCTTAAAAGTAGAGCTAGTGTCTGTCTCTTAGATCCACATTGGGAGCTGGTTCTACAGAAGAGGGGCCTGAGTGCTGAAGGTTTTGCCTCCCATTCTACTTTCAATATTCTAGGTACCACGAATAAACCAGCAGTCCGAGAATGAAGTGCTCTGCAGGAACACAATCCAACATATTTGTTGAATATTTGCACTGAAAGACACATCCTGGTCAAAAATGACTCCAAGATTCCTCACAGTGTTCATGTTCTTGAAGCAAATTTCATGTGTATAAGGATCTTTCTCGGCATGAAGCTGTGCTGCTGCTCACTGATCAACGCCTCTTCGCTTGTTAGTACATGTCCATCTCTATTTTCAGTCACTCTAACCTGTTCTCTGAGCAGTGTTTCTGCCTGGCCAAACAATACAAAAACACGGGAATTAGTCAATTAACTCATATTTGAAGCCTCAGATGAACATTGGAGGAACTGCAGGTTCTGGTTTTAATTTCATTTCCTTCATTATTATTTTTTTCACCCTAGAGATTGAAGCTTGGATTAAAAAAGAAAATAACGTGGAGTTTCAGGGGTCTTTGTGATTCATTGTAACTGGTGCATTGTGTATGTCACAGAACTGGGAAAAAAATGTGGTAAAAATAAAAAGTATTCTTTGCATTTTCCCCATTTTATCGCGTACTTATAGGAAAACCTACTTCAAGCATCATCTCAGCAAACAGCCTCTAACATCTGTTACCTCTGGATGAGTTCATAGCCTGCAAATTTCACCTCACGAGTAAAGAAGAGCGCGATATTCATCCTGCACACTGATGGCTGCTTCTTCGGCGCCCTCCAGCTGCTGCAGTTGTGCACTGCAGCTGCACAGCTGCCGGCGTGTTTTGGGAAAAGGGATAATGCGCATTTTGCAGTTTGTGGATGCAGCGGGTGCAGCGGTGACAGCTGAGAGGAGGAGGTCAGTCCTGGGTGCAGACAGTCGCAGGGGAAACACTGCATCTAAAAATAAACTCGGTGACATTTAAGTTGATTGCTCGGTTCACACTTTCATGCAGTATTTACACTTGAAAAGCAGCGCAGCAAAGACACGAAGCCTGGTCGCTGTATGGAGACTTTCTATACAGTTGCATGAGTGATGCATCACTTATTGTGTTTTAATATAAATATATATTTGTTAATACTTTTAATTGTTTTTTGTGTGTGTGTTTAAACTGTATTTTCCCCTTTTCTTGGAGGAATAACTCTGCTCTGATAGGACGGTACAGAGGAGGTCAGAGGTTACAATTATATCTACATTCGATATATATATACATATTTGTCGAATTAAATGAATAAACAAAAAAATAAATACACAGATAAAATAATGAATAATGAAATATGAAATAATAATGAAATAATAAACCCATACCACATTATGACAACAATAATAATAATAATTATTATTATTATTAATATTAATTGTGATTTTTTTCCTACATCAGTTATATTTAGCCTTTAATTTGTGTTTTTTTGTCAACAGTTTTAACCTCCTACCACCAAGTTTAAATCTTCATTTTTTAATAATTAATTTTCATAAATTGTTCTAATTTCCGTTCTTTGTTATTATTATAATTGTAAACGCCAGTGCATAGGCCTACTCAAAGCTAAAATAAACACGTTTTTTACTTTGGTTTACAAAGGCGTTTTATAACTGAACTGTATATATTTTCATTTTTTATATGTTTTGTTATTAATTAATTCGAACATGTCGTCAGTCCATCTTGCAAATTAAATGCATTATAACGCCGTGAATAAAACTATTTAATTAATGACGTCATGATTCCTTAGAGGTCATTAATATTCATTCAAATTATACAAATAAAGCATGACAATGAACCAATACACAGAAAAGTATACCACATGGAATAATGACAGCTATTTAACAGATGCATATTTACTTTGCTGATATCGATACGCATTTTTTAAATGTATGTATTAAACTTACATTTCCCACACGCCCCCCGCCGTGTGCAGCAGTACATTACTGCCCTGTGAGGGGTAATCGGACACTAATTACCGTGAAGCTGTAAACCCCTCCTGCCAGCAGCTGATTGGACAGACCTCGGTGGACCCCATCATCTTGAACCCGCCCCCCACTGTCCCAGGTATAAGGGGATCCAGGTCAACGGCTGGAGGGCAGATCAGTTTGTGACAGGACTGTACATTCCCTCAAAAGCCCCGAATCCTGCTTCACGTTTCAGTTCTTCCCTAAAAAAGAGAGAAAAGTTTGGTCATCACTGGATTTTCTTCTTCCTGCTGTGATCTGGACTGAACCATGGAGTTGTCGGATATCTCTTTCCCCATCCCCACCGCTGATGATTTCTATGACGACCCCTGCTTTAACACCAGTGACATGCACTTCTTCGAGGACCTGGACCCGCGGCTGGTCCATGTGGGGCTGTTGAAGCCTGACGACTCCTCCTCTTCATCCTCATCCTCCCCTTCCTCCTCTTCCTCCTCCCCGTCCTCCCTCCTGCACCTCCACCACCATGCCGAGGTGGAGGACGACGAGCACGTCCGCGCCCCCAGCGGGCACCACCAGGCGGGCCGCTGCCTGCTCTGGGCCTGCAAGGCCTGCAAGAGGAAGACGACCAACGCGGACCGGCGGAAGGCGGCCACGCTGCGGGAGCGCCGGCGGCTCAGCAAGGTCAACGACGCCTTCGAGACCCTAAAGCGCTGCACGACGGCCAACCCCAACCAGAGGCTGCCAAAGGTGGAGATCCTGCGCAACGCCATCAGCTACATCGAGTCCCTGCAGGCGCTGCTGCGCGGTGGCCAGGAAGACGGCTTCTACCCGGTGCTGGAGCACTACAGCGGGGACTCGGACGCATCCAGCCCCCGCTCCAACTGCTCCGACGGCATGGTGAGTTCAAGGAGCGACAGGTGTGAGAGAGGCGCACGGAGCCGACCATCTTTTGAATTTAGCCAAAGGAATTGGGGATATTTTACTGTCTGCTCCAACTCTTATTTTAACTGATGTTTAATATTAATTAAATTCTTTTATTATGATGAATCGAGACAAATCAAGCAATTCATTTTTTTTCTCTTATTCATGACGTTTAAATTTCATGTAAAATAGTGATTTAAAGTAGAATCATTTAGCTGCCTGTGTGTAACTTTCTCATTACTGGCCATTTTGTGTCAGAATCGGAACGAAGCAAATTTAGTTTCAAAGTGTCTTTAAAACATTTTCTTTCGTCTCGTCTCACCAAACACACAGGAAACAGATTTAAACCGTTTTTAGACCCCAGATGTAACAAACGGAGAGACGTGGATGGAAAAAAATAATATCTGAGTTCAGGGACTTTATTAACGTGGTATGACACAAACAGCTACCGTGACTCAACCATTACCACACACACACACACACACACACACACACACACACACACACACACACACACTTATTTAGATTTATTTTCTAATCACTCTGCGGGATTTCTCTGGTGGATTCTTTAGTGTCTCTGTCAATATTTAATTTTCTCTTTTCTTCTTCAGACGGATTTTAACGGCCCCACCTGTCAGACAACCAGAAGAGGAAGTTATGACAGCTCTTATTTCTCCGAGACTCCAAACGGTAGGAAATGATTTTAATACGTGTTTAAAATAATAAACCACGCAGTAAAGTGACGGCAGTTAGCGGGGAAAGACAAATAGAAGACGCAATAAAAGCAGCAGGCCAATAAAACAGTTGATGCTGTGCTTTCTTTGAACTGATTCTTTATTTAATTGTTCAAAATGTAAAAGTTCAATGTTAATGTTGATTTTAATGTTAGGAGCAACGTATAAAAGTAAGATTATAAACCATACGCTGAATTAAAAGCTCATTTTTAATTTCAGCTGATGTAAAAAGAGCGTTTCTTCGTTTTTTTTTTGTTTTGTTTTTTTTGTAGATCTTTTCGACAGTAAATGATTAATATATAATACAGAAGCTGAAATATTCTGAGTTAAATTAAGCTCTGTAAAGCAGCCTAAATACAAAACAAGCATGAAAACAATTAAACTAGATCTGTGATTAATGCTAACAACTAATTCGAAATAATTTGAAAATAAAGTTATTATTATTATTATTATTATTATTATTATTATTATTAATAATAATAATAATAATAATAATAATAATAATAATAATAATATTGGTTTGGGGTTTGTTTTTGATGATGATGATGATTTGATTATGTTTTTTGTGTTTCCATAACAACAGTTTTGTCACCTTTGTCCCCCAATATGAATGATAGAAATATTTTTTTTTTTAAAACTCATCCATAGTAACGATTTTTTTTTTATTTACTATGATGTCTTGTTTTTTTGTGCAGGCGGTCTGAAAAGCGAACGCAGTTCAGTGGTGTCCAGTCTGGACTGCCTGTCCAGCATTGTGGAGCGGATCTCCACCGATAACAGCAGCCTGCTGCCGCCTGCTGACGGCCCAGGATCCCCACCGACGACAACTGTGCCGGTGGGTGAAGCAGGCACTGCCCCGGCGACCACTCAGGTCTCGTCTCCGACTGCCAGTCAGGACCCCAGCCTGATTTACCAAGTCCTATAGACCCTCACACATAGATATTCAACTCGGACATTACAATAAATTAAAAAAATCCCCAAATCTTGTCAAGCCATCCAGCCATAAGAACACACACACACACACACACACTGAAAATGATTATTTACACCAGCTGAACTGAGAAACCACCACTATGGTTTATCAGCTGCTTCTTATGTATTTATTCTCTTTAGATCAATGTATGGAAGCTCATTCCTGCCAGAAAAAAAGATCAGCAGTAAAAATCATTTTAAGTGTTTTCAATTGAGTTGCCAAGAAAAAAATCCCGTGGCTGTGAGGTCTAATTAAAAGTACACATACCTAAGATTTATTTTCAGTTATTAGATATATATTTAACAAAGGAATGATAAAATCTAGAATTACTGATGTAAAGAAAGATTTTTTTAAGCGTCCAAACTAAACATCTCAATGTTTCATGATCAGATGCGGTTTGTTGATTCTACACGGAGACGCTAATAAAAGGAGGAGCCTGAAAAAAATGATTTTAAAAAGTCATAGTCAGGAGCTGAAGTCTTAATTTTGACCTTGTATGTCATACAAATGAAAAGTTGCTTTTATCATTCCAAAGTTACCTACATTAGTTAATTTTCCAAGCAGGAATGAGCTTCCACAGCCACCCCAGATTCCCTTTCCTGTTTCTGAAATAAGTCGAGATCAGACCACTTAATTCTATAGTTACGTTTTAAATAGAAACCAGTTCGGTTCTTGCTGTATTTTTATTTAATTTTAAGTTATGAAAAATATTTTAAGCCTCAGCTTAGTCTTTCAGATGGATCCCCCCACCTTCCCCACTCCAGCCTTCTGTGTATAGTCTAGCTGATGAAGGACGGAGGCCAAAAACCACCCATTAACATTCCTCCACTTTCGTCTATCTGAAGTCCGAAAGGCCCCAGCTGTTCGATTCCCTCAGGAGGAAAAAGGAACTACAGTAACTGTTTGACATTTTAGAAGGAAACTTGATGTAAAAGCACAAATTTCTGCAGTAAAAGCTTAACAGAATCCGGCCTGCGGGTACAGAAGTATTGTAGTGACTTTTTTTCCTCCCGTCAGTTTTGAAGTAGGTTCAGACCTCCTTCCTGTCCAAAACGGATTTTTAATTTCTTTCATTTGTCATTTCACTCACTGCAGCGGAGGACCACTTTTCTGTTTCTGTAAATATTCTGTAAATAAGAGCTGATTTGTTCCAACTGAAAGTATTAATTATGTATTTAATGTTTCTGTCTGTACGTGCTTTTGTTTGTTGTGAAAAATGTTAAACTTTATATTTATACATCTGAAAATGAGTGACAGTCTAAAGACAAATAAATGCTTATTTATACAAAATATATACATATGACTCTGACTTATGATGTCTTGTTTTTTTTTAATGTCCAGAATTTATTTATAAAATTTTATAATTTTTTGTGGGAAAAATTTCAAGAAAATGTTTTCATTGCCTTGATATTTAAAATAATTGAACACATAAATTTCAAAGCAACTGGTGGTTTTTGTCCATAAAACTACTCATCTAAGATTACCACAAAGTAAAAGATCTCTCAGCAAAATTAGCAACATTTTAGGCACTATTGCTCCTATCAAGTCAGTGAGCTGGGATTTTTTATTCTAAACATGAATTACAGTTACAGCAACAGACAAGGACGACTGGTTCCCCACACAACAACTCCATCATATTTGAACAGAAAAAATCTTCTTCGTAACTGAGCTAATGCTGCATTTTTGTTTTACATTCTATACTGTTCGTCTTCTGACTGAACACTTATCGTTATACAATTTTAACTCTGTGGCAGCCTCGCCATACTTGCCTACTTTTCAGCCTGGGGGGGGGGGGGTGATCTACTTATATGTACAAAAAACTTCAATTTTACAATGTTTATTTATTGGATAAAAAAGTTAAATGTCACCGTTATTATTGTCCGGCCGGAAACAAGCTGGGGATGTCCAAATTCAGAGGCTGCGTCCACCTGAGGACCCGGTGTTGTGCCAAAAAGTGATTGTCTGCCAAAAACTGATTGCCTGTATTTAAACTGCTATAAATAACTTGTTGGTCTATAATATGTGAAACATATGTCAAGTGTATCCCAAATGTATCAAGTCATCTTGAGCAACAAACAACATTCCTGTAACAAGGTAGAAGCCGCAATCACTTTTTGGCAGTGACTTTTATGTATCCTTTATTTATGCAGTTAAAAAAAAGTATTGTTGGCTTTAAAAATGTCTCTTTCAGGAGTAATCTGGCCAAGAGGACAGCTGAAATTGCAACAAATGCAAAAATAGTTCTGTAAATATATTTTAAGTGGACAAACGGGAGCTGATTGATTATAATGTAAGTACAATAACACAGTTACAAAGATACTTGACAAACAGGTAAATTTTTAATTTGATATATAACCCCTTTGTAATATCTGTTCACCAAAGTCTATTTAGCAACATACATAACGATATTACACATAAAAAACACACGGAAACATTGGAAATCAGTTTTTGGCACAACACCGGCTCAGATATTTGAAGTTTACTCAGCTACTTTCTCCCTGGAAAATATGTTAAAAGTTTATTTTACGACGCAGAAAGAGTAATAAGAGCAATATTAAAACTAAGTAGATGCAGTAGTAGCCATTGTTGGAAATTGGAATTGGCTTGGCCGATATGGGATATGGTTTTTCAATTTTGTTGTCCGGGTGGAAAATCGGGAGAAATTCGGTAGAATGGTGGCTCCTGAAATTCGTGATTCTCCTGGAAAAATCGGGAGGGTTGGCATATATGGGCCTAGCATAGCCTGTAACGTTATTATGACGGACACATTTTATGAGTGAACTTGACTTTAAGTGACTTACAGGTTTCTTTGAAAAATACTTTCTTATATCCAGGTTCTTCCTTTTTGCTGCCGTCCTCCTCTCCTCCTCGCAGGTCCTGGCAGCGCAGGCTTGCTGCTGCTAAAACTAAACAGAGCTCCTTGAAAGGCTCAGCCAATCACATTGGATATGTTTGTCAAATGAGGAAGGACTCCAGCAGAGAACGTAATTTAACTCTTTCTGCACCGCAAGGTGAATGAGACGTTGACAGATCGGTTTTTATCTTTGTATCGGGTAAGTACTTTAGTTAAGAGTGATGGTGACTGTCACAATAACTCTGTTAACAATTATAATATTCAAGTTATTTTAAATCCCTAAATGACTAATGAAGGTTTGAGCTTTAAAACGCTTCTGAACAAACACAAACATTGTCCGATCCTGTTCCTGTGACCTTGACTTACATGCTGAGGCTCTGCTCCGTGGTACACAGACCAACAGCGCCATCATGTGATTCTACGGCAGAACTGCAGCAATTGGCACCTCCAGGTTTTGGTGTGTTTAGTCCTTTGCACTGCTGCCAACATCAGCACACGTGCATTTGTGTCATCACTGGTATTTGTGACTCCTCATACTTGTTTGTGTTTTTCCTTTTTGGTGAATAAAATAATGTTCAGCAATTTAGCTTGTCTTGCCATTGTCACTGGCTGTGCGGCAGCTTGTGACAAAATAACAGTGAAAGTGATCTTTTTCTTTTTTCCACAAATAAATAATTTTTTCCTAATTTTTTCTGTTCAGGAATGCAGGTAAATATCAGTAATATGAAAAAATGTAATGTGCTTTCTAAACTTTTTTCAGCTTTTCTTCTAAAACTAATAAAAATGAATAGATAATAACAATAATGATATTTAAATATAATTTTTAGTAAAGTTACAGTAAGTTTTGTCCGGTTATTTAGTAGAAAAAAAGAATATTTTACTCCTAAATATATATTGATTAGTGTGTAATTATGTCTTTCACCAAACTGATGCATTCTCATAAACAGCAGCTGGCACCTGTTTGTGAAAGCTGCCATGTTGCCATGTCAGTGGCCGAGCTGGACATCGCCGGTCCATCTTATCATGCTTTATGTATCTGATTGATGATTGATGATTTCAGACACATATGTAGAAAACCAAAGGCAGCGGAGACAAGAACCTGTGGGGATTTTGAATCCTGGAGTCAAATATTATTTTATAGCTGCACCTTCAGCCTCATGATATGAAGCATCATACCCGTGTTTCATTGTCATCAAAGAAGCGGAAAAGCAAAGGAAAGAGACAGTGTGACAGGCCTCTGAATAAGATGTTGTCCTCTTCTGTCTTAGCTCAAGCCTCATCTCCTGAACTGATGTCCGGGCTGCAGCTAACAGCAGCTAACAGCTGCTAACAGAGGCTAAACAGCAGCGGTTACCGACAGAAAAGTAGAGGAAATCCTCAACAACTCCCCTCAGCAGCACTGTCATTGGACAGAAGTGAGCTTCACTGACTCATTGACTCATATCAGACTCATGTCACAATATTTACAGCCTCCTCCAGAGTAGCTGGACAGATTGACTGCGGTAAATAACGGAATGTTCCTTGAATTAAATTCAACATTTAATATGCTTTCATAAGCTCCTATCTTAGATTAAAAATAAGATTTTTTTTATACAAGTAGTATTATATATAAACTAGTTTCCCTCCCTCAGTTACAAATGATAATGTGCATACTGATCACTTGCAAAACCTAAAATATTTGGAGACTCTGATAAAAGCAGGGCCTCTGTTTCCTGCCAGGTCATTTAACAGTGTTGAAGAAACGACTTTAAAATTACACATCTAAAAATACTGAACTTTATTGATTTACTAAAGAACAACAGATCTACAGACATGGCTTGAAGTGTCACACTTTATTTACAAAAATACTGAGAACCAAACAGTCGAGGGTGAGGAAGCGTGACGGCAACAAAGTTTAATGGTTTTTATTCCTACTGAAGAGCAGCTAAAGGCTCCTGGTTGCATGTTTCATAGTGTGGTTGGTTGGCTGCAGGGTAAACCTCAGCATTACAGGCTTCTTCTGAGCTAAGACCTTTGCCACAGCGTGCATTGCTTCATCAGGCATGTGTCCGAGATTATCCTGGTTTGGTTTCTGAGCACTGGCGGGCCGAGTTGATCTACTTTCTGCGGCGGGCGGCTCCCTTCTTGCTGCTGTAATGCGAAACGCAAAGAAATTGGACATATTTCAGAACTTTGAGCTGTTCTCACATTGTGCGATGCCGTCGATGCTGATTTGCAAATTTATACTCAAACTCAAACTTCAGAGAACAGCAGTGAACAGCTCAAAGACTCCTTGGTAGAAGTCAAGCACGAGGAGAGTGCAAAAACATGTTTTGCATCATCACATATGAAGCTGAGAGCATTTCACTAGCTGGAAGCATGTTTGTCCAAAATCTCTTGAGGAAACTGGCTGCTTAAAATAAAAATCTCTTCTCAGTTAAAGAAACGGATGGGTGTGTTTTTATCCAACCGTACAGATTTAGATTTTTGTTCAAATTTTGTGCAGCAATCATTCAAAAAAGTAACTGAAAATATTAAAATTATCTTTTTGAGATATGAAAAATATCTTAATTCAGAAAAAAACATGAAAATCCTCATAAATTGTTTAGGGTCTGTTTAGTGTATGTTTTGAGTGGGATTTTGGAAGCAGAAAAAACAACCCAGGAAATTCAGCTCGCATGCACAACTCATGCTGTACTTACCTGCATGGGCTTAATTAATCCAAAGGCACTACCTCAAATCCATCCCCTTTATTTTCGATCGTGTATGCACCGTTACAGTCGTGTTTGCTCTAATTAAGACCTGTGAGTCTGTGAGAAGCTCAGGCTTTAGACTGCTCGAAACGTCCAGACAGTTTTTTTTCTATACTTAATAAAGAGCATATTTCCCAAATATGGTCAACGCAGGCACGCAGCTCAGTCTGTAAGCACCAAAGCTCCGCCCACCTGCTGCCAGAAAGAAAGCGAATGCAACTGACATATCGTGAAAGGTTTCATGTGTCATGTTTGATGTCTTAGGGTGAGTACTTAATGTTCAGGGTAGAAGCGTGATGATGCAGCTGCACCCTTCTATTAAACACCTCTGCATTAAGTACTTGTGCTCGTTAGTCTGGCTGACCAACAGAGTCCAAACAACATGACAGCTGAGATGTTTTTGGCCTGTGTCTGGACCGGGATTGGAACTGAACCATCTGCGGCAGTGTTACTGAGGTGTTCTTGTGTTTACTGTATGATTATTACTGTTTGAGGGATAAAACTAGTAGTCTTCTATCTAAAATTCATCATAAGATGCATGCTTGATTTTCTAAGACCTTTTCATGTCATTTTATAATGTTAATGATAAATTAAATGGTTAGGGTCAAGGCTAGGGTGTTATCACTGAAGGGTCTAAATCAGGGGTAGGAAACTCAAGGCCTCGAGTGCCGG